CCCCCCCCCCCCCCCCCCTCTCTCTCATATTCCATTTTTGTTTCATTCCCGGTTATGATCTCCACGAACTCGAGCTTCAATATCTCTATTTCTCGTTCTCAAAGTCTCTTTTTACTTGAATTTGTAAGTATCGATGATCTCTCCAAAATGACTATTCCAAATTCTGTACCAAAAAAACGTTTCTATATGAATTTATTACAGTGTCAAAATGTTGCATCCTAACACGCATACTACTTATAAAACTTGAAGTGTTGTGGTTGACACTACGAATATATTGAAGCATGTGCATATATCTATTAAGTTTAAATTACTTAATGTATACTAACTAGGGCGTCTCAGAGTTGTCCATACATGGTAGATTTCCATTTCCATTTATTGGTGGTTAATTTTGATTTAATTTTAAAAATAGTTAACAAGAAAAAGAAATAAAAAAAAAAAAAAGTTGAATCAACGACTTAAAAAGGATAAATTAAAGTGGTTAGCTCTAAAGTTGGAATAGCTTAATTACAAAAGGAGAAGCAAGGACAATTATATGCTGCAATTTAAAAATTTAAAAATATATATGAAGAACTAATAATTTGAAATAATTTTTAATCATATAAATGAGAGTAAAATTATAAAGTTTACTGAAATTTTAGGGGGACAAAGAATTGTGTCATTATTTAAAGAAGTAATGAAAGTAATAATTAATAATTAATAATTAATAATTAATGATTAATGAACATGTGTGGAGCATATTATGGGGAAGATAGCCTCGCCAAAACTCAATTATAAAAATTGCCTTTTTGTATTAATTAAAATATTAATTAAAATATTAATTAAAATATTAATTAAAATATTAATTAAAATATTAATTAAAATATTATTTAAAATAATGTGTTGCCTTTTGCCCACCATGCACCTCTCTTCAATCTCTAACCTCTACCTAACCTATGAATATAATCATAATCATACTACTAATAATAAATAATAAAATGATTAAATTTGGATTTAAAGTCAAAGCAACAAATAATACATGTGATTAACGACCTTAGTCAAATCACCTAATTATTTCTCTCTAAATCTATAACAGTACAAATTGATACCCTTATTATTAGCATGTCATGTTATTGAACAAATGTGGATTTCGTTGAAAATAAATAGGCGTGTAAGGATAAACACGCTACCTACGAAGGGGTGAGGATTAAATAAAATGGTGTGATTAAAGTAAAAGCAAAGATGTAATTAGATAATTAAGAAAGGGGTAGAGGGTAGGGCATTGGAGACCCTATTTCTTCTACTTTTGACTATAGATTATAGGCTTTTGCTTTCTAAGCCCCTTTACATATTTTATTTTATTTTTAAAAAATTTTCATTTTGGTTCCTGAGAATTAATAAATTAACTTTGCTCGCTCATCATTCTGTGGGTCCAACCCCCTCTCTCTCACACTTGCATTTTATTTATTTAACCGTGAGGTTAAGTAAAAGAATTCGAATTTGTGGAGCTGTTAAGCAACGGAGGAAAGAAAGAAAGAGAGAGGATTGGAGAGATGGAAAATTAAAGGCCCAAAAAGAGGAATGGAATTGGTGTTAAGTTGAAGCAAGGAAGGCCCCCACTCAATATACCAAACCCAACACACAACAACGCCAAGCCGAAGGACCCTCTCTCTAACCCACTTCATGCACTTACGAACTTCCTCCTTCTATACGCACTCTCCAATTTTTTACTTTTTACGCCTTATATTTCAACTTAATCCACCTATATATTACCATCCAACCCTTCAGTTTCAAAATTACTTTAATTTGGTTTCAAGTTTAGCGTGAATATCCATTATGACAACCGCGATTATAATATTTATTCTTTTTCTTAAAGTTGAAAAAGTGGAGGCTTCCAATTAAGTAACGCTTCCAATTGACGCTTCCAATTAAGTAACGCTTCCAATGTTTATTGCATTAAAAACAAGCATAAAACCAACCATCTCAAAGCATTTCAGACTAAATATACAATAACTAGTCAAGATTATGAAACAATCAACCCAACATATATCTATTCCAATTCTCGTTCAACTAAAAAGAAGAACGATAATGACTTTGAATTCTCGCGCCCCCAAAATTAATTAATTACTTCAAAAAAGAAAACCGGATAGAGAAGCAATCCCTTGGGAATGGAATTACACAACCAATCCCTTAGCAATGGCACAATTTGTTTTGAAATTTGTAGTCTCGTAAACTGGCAATTCCTCTCTGTACCTTTCCATTCCAATGACTGAAAGATTATCCAATTCAAACAGATCAGAACTCGAACAGCTCACTGCATCATCTTCTTCTTCTTCTTCATCTTCATCCTCGTACTCAAACCCTTCATTTCCCTTACTCTTCCTCGGATGCTCTGTTTTCACTTCCTCTGTTTCAAATTTCCCATAACTTTTCAACCCTTTCTTCATAATGGGTTCCTCTAACTTCTGCAAACTTTTGTGCCCATATGCCTCACAATCCTCGTCCACAATTTCACTCACAGGACAGAACCGAACCGATCTCTTAACGTTTCCTCTCGAAGATGGCGTTTTGCTCAGACAAGACCTCGAAAATGACGAAGCAGAGGAACATGTCGATCCCTGGGATTTCGCTTTTGTCGGCATGTCGTAATCCATACTCCTTGGATTCGTCGAAGGATTTGGCATCTTTTGCTTCGTTTTTGGGCTTCCGCCATTGAAGAGGGAGTTGAGAAAATTTGCGAGGCGGCCGCCGGGGGATATCGGCTGCTTCACCTTTTTCAAATCGTGGTAGATTTTTGAAGCTTTGGATTTCGTTTTAACCAACCCATTTTCGTGCTTTGCTTTTTGAGTTTCGGTTTGAGTCCACGGAGTAGTTTTGATCGGCTTTTGTCGGTGCAGAGCACGTGACAGAAGCTCCGATTCCGACGCAGAGTATCTTCTGCCGGCGGTGGAGGTGGATTCCGACGAGCTGGAGCTGGAAACAGTAAAATCGCGAATGTTTCTAACTTTTTTCCTATCCATCCACTTCTCGATCATACAAGCTCGCCGGAATTTGACGGCTTCGTCGTCCTCTGTCCTGGCGGTAACCACACTCTGTTTTGTTCTCATGGTGGTTTCTCTGTAGAAAAAGAGGTGGCCGTCTTCATCCTGGTCGTTGGATTCGTCGATGGAACGGTAGATGGCGTCGAGAAGAGAGGAGGAGAAGGAAGGGTTGTCACGGCGACTACGACGGCGTTGTGGGAGGTCTTGATCGTGTCTCTGAAACGACTTATCCCACAAATCCATGAAAGACGAAGAGTTTGAGGCAAATAAGGATTAATTTTGTCGGAAAAATAAAAAAAAGTTGGTGAAAATAAAGAGAATTTGGGAAATTCTGATGATGTTTTTGAGTTATCAGAGTGACAGAAACCGGAAGGAAACAAAAGGAGAGTTGGAAGTTCTCTTTTTTATGGGCAATGAATGGCGGAGAGAGAAAATGATGAATCAACAAGTCCACGCCTGAGAACACGATAAGATATGATTGCGTGCGCCTATTTGTATATCAATTTGAGTATAGTTCAATTAACCAGTCAATATAAAAACTTTGTTGATGAGATAATTTATACAGATATTTGAATATTAGTTATAAATAAAATAATTATTTTGATTTTCTAAAATTAAGATAGCGTTCTTATTATCTTTATTCATCTTTATCACCCTGGTATAAGGTTTTTAAAAATAATGTAAGCTCTTAAAATAAAATAATATATCGATAATTATGTGTGAATGGTGAATGAAAAATATACGTACACGTGAGCTTAAAAAAAGTTACCATTTATGGATGGTATTAATATAATAATAAAAATAATCGAATATATATAATTATAGTTAAAAGATTAAAAACAAAAAAGTTTTAAATTTTTACTTCCATACATATTAAACTAAAAAATTAATTATTATTCTTATTTGGAATTGGAGGGAGCTCATGTATGACAAGTGGATCCAAACTGGAAGGAGTGCCAGATTGTGAGTGCACACGTGGCATATTTAATTTTAGTTTTTTATTATTATTTGCTGGAATATTATTGAAATGTGTACGTACTCTTTATTCACACTACCCTGCGCCACACGGTGTGAGATTGTTTGCTTTTTCTAAATTTCAAATTTAAAACATAAAAAAATATATGTATTTTTTATTTATTTAATCATATTATAAAGAAATATAAAATAATAAAATAAAACTAATTTACTTTGACAATGGTCCCGATAATTAAATAATGCACAATTTAAACGGAAAGTAATTAAAAAAAATAACTTCCGTGCATTTTATAATATTTTATCTTTTGTTTTTATATGATTTTTTATAACAAAGTTTACGATCTCCTTTCCAAATCCTACGTTCAAATTTAAAAAACCAAAAAGAAAATATTAGAAATAACTTTTTTTTTCTTATCTTATAAGCTCAGAACGAGAGGTAAGTGGGACCGGTTCGACTCAGATCTCAAATCAAAGTGAATTTATATATGACCAACTCAACTTTGAAAATTTATAGATAGATTGAAACCTTCGCCACCGTACTATTTGAGAAAGAAGGGAGGGACGAGAAGAGAGGGACAAAAACATGTATCGACTATTCTTATTAATTAATTCTAATCTATAAAGCAGTGGGTATGTGTTTTTAAAAATATATAATAGGGGAAGAGTGTTTTACCAATGAAATAACCAAATTTGGCTTAAAGTGTGTTTTTTTTCCCACCACTTTTTGCTGTTTGAATCATAATTACCATAATTATTATCAATTAGCCTTCAATTAGTGGTGAATTAACACTTTAATAGCTTTAACATATATTAAATTTTTTAAACTTGGCTTAATCATTAGAAGGTTGATTTATATGTGATTAAACCACGAGACAAATTTTTTACCTATTAAGACATATCTTTAGTTATCATTTTCTTTAAAAGATAGATTATTATGGGCCACTTTTGAAAGATCACTAGGATCGTAATTCTTAATTTATATCATTATATATATGATATAAATATTTTATTTATAAAAAAGAACTCTTTCGAGAGTAATTCATATTCAACTTTTATTGATCGGGTCTATTGTTCTTTACGATGATACCCACCTCTATTTAGTGGAGGCTCCAATATCTCGTTACTTTAATGCTTTCAACGTATTAATAATTATATACCATATATACATATGTATATGTATGTATGTACAAAACAGGGATGGACATGTAAAGGAAGTGGGAGAGAGAAAAGTTGATGTAGAAGGGTCGTTGGGCATTCTCCATTGATATGAATCGAGAATATACAAGCACATCGACAAACTAGCATTCAACTTACACGAATATGTATCTATTGTGGTACACGAATATGTATCTATTGTGGTAAGAGATGGGTTCCATAGTTGTCTAAGATGTGCTGGATATGAACATATTGTGGAACCTAAAGCATGCATGGGGAAGAATCTTATCCTGGGATGATGAAAGATGGTGGAAAGAGCGGAGAATTGGTGTGCAGTCACTTCAGTTTTGTACGCGTACGTGTGGTTCTAGAGGGGCATATGTTGTGTAATGGGGGTGGTGGTGCTTATTTGCATAATCATTGCACTCCTGCCCTTTTACCACCTTTTTAGAGGGCTTAGGGTTAGTTTGATTAAGTAAAGGAATACCAAACCCTATGCCCCTAATGCATGTGATTTGATTATCCTAATAACCAATGCCACCGTGAGAACCCACCTAAAAAGAAACGAGTATTTTTATCTACCAACTCTTTATGTTCACACTATAAAGAACTATTCACCGAGACTGTCAATATACCTACCTCATAACAACTACCGCTGCTCGTAAGGATCTAAGTAAACTACTAGTCATATTGTGGTAATCTCCACAAATAATTTGTGGTTGATGTGACAAATCTCTAATATTATCATATCTTAATATCGAAATGTAAAAGAGAGAGAAGAAAGTAACCCTACCCATGTTTGAGCTTTCAACTGTGGATTTGCTTTTGTCTTCTCTCTTTCTCTCCTTTCCTCACATGCACCTTTTTCTCTCTCTAGTCCCTTCAAGCTCAAGGCAAATAAATCAATAATTATATGAAGCAAAAAGGTTGTAATTTCAGAAACCCAATTAATTAATTATTATCAGGCTCATATTAATCATGCCAATTAATTCTATTATTCTCTGATTAAATTTGTACAAGGGCCCATTCTCAAAGTGAACACAACACACAGGTTGCTTAGAGAGAGAAAAAGAGCTACAACCATTACATGGGGTTCAGAGTTCTTAAGCTAAGAAATTCCATTTTGAACCAAATAAGCTTTGAAAAAGAATGGGACTAAGATCGGATTCGTTTCATGTCATAATTTATGCATAAAAGAGAATTTAAAATTTCCAAATAGATTCCTTTCAGATCATAGATTGACAATTTCGAGAGCCCCCACTAAAAAATGGCCTTGGAAATGTGATCGTGAGAGCAGACAAAATGTAAAGACAAATAGTAACGTTCCTTCCACCAATTTGGATACAAATTTGTCAGTGGATGAACGACCAATTTGTCTCCCACCATCACCCTTACAATTCAACATATCATTGCCCACGCCTCATATCTCAAACACAAATTTACCCCAACGCAAATGTATATAATTTCAATTCATCTATACTTTTTCAATGCAATCTCGCATGTTTGGTCTAAATTTTAGATTCTCATGGCTCCTAGAATGCATATTATTCCAATTCAAAACTTATATGATCAACAGTTACAGTGGAGTAGGGAATGTACGGACGGTCTGCTTATTATAATAGGCCAACGCAAAAGACACCAACACACACTCTAAAAAGTTATGAAGGGCACAGGCATCAGGTTGCCTTTGTCATCCACACAAGACTACTACAGTAGGAAAAAGCTATGAAAGAGTAAGGAAATCTAACCTCTTGGTTGTTGACAACTAATCACAAACAGTCCCCTGCAACTCAGAATGGATCATCCATTGCCATTGGAGGGATTCATGAGCTTTTTGCTGTTAACAAGCTGAACTTAGCATCACAGATTCATTCATTCATCCACTTCTGTCTGCCAAATAATTGACCAAAACAAAACGTTTGCATTGCATTTCTTCATTCCTGCAATTAACATTGGCAATAAGATAAGTTTTTGAAGTAGACTAGAATTCAAGAGAGTAATGATATCGTGACTGGTGCCTACAATAAAATTCCAGGTGGGACACTTATCCTACCTTGGGAAAATGACCTGTGTTCTTTTTTCTTTTTTTCTTTTTTTTTTTTTTCCAACAAGCTGACAGCCATGACAAGAAATAAAATGAGATTGGGGTAAAAGAATAGAAACCAAAACAGGAGGAGCTGATTTGAAGTGCTGTTGAAGTTTTGAATGATGAACCTGTAAAGATATGTTTGTACTGGAAACATGGTCACAAACAGTACAAGGTAAATGCAGGAAAAATATAAACACAACTTTAAAACAGTTCTAAAAACTGCTCCACAAAAAGGACAGTACAAGATGCTTCTAAGCTTCTGATAAATGAGTAATGCATCAACCGTTAAAGCTAATGATTCTTTTTTTCTTTTTTTACTTTCATTTTTTCCAAGTGTTCCAAAATTCGAAGTGCCAAGATAAACATCACACAGATCCCCGAGGACATCGATTTTTGTACACATATCATATCAAGCCATTGTCAAACTGATGATGATGGAAATACTTTGCACGATGTAATCCCTAGACTCTCTAGCAAAAAGAAAAAGCAAAAAAAGCGCAGATTCAAAATATATGAGGTATATAGGGACTCGGATGTGTAGGGTTATGCTTTTTCGTGCAAAGCATGAAGATGATCGTAAGAAAAGAAAAGAAAAGAAAAGAAAAGAAAAGAAAGAAAAAAAAAAAGACAATGTGTTTTGGCAATCCCAAGATATTGAGCTGACAGTTCTATAACAAAAAATAAAGTAGAATTGAACAGGACAAAGTCTATGTATTCTGCACAAGGAACAAAGATAGAAGAATAAAGCATCTCACTCACCTCTTTTTCCTGATCACAACTGAAGTTACACGTATGGAAATGATCCAGAAACCAGTTGGTCACCTTCTCCTTTAGCAATCGGCACCTTACAAAATGAATACAATAATAATGGATTTAAATGTTCAAGACTTCACCTTTACCATTCTCTCACACAAGGCCACTTGGTAAATTGTACATAAAACTCCAAACCAACACTCACATTAAGAGGAAGAACAAAGCTAGATGCAAATAACTTGGAATAGCTGCGGAGCATATTCCTAACGTCAAGTATTTTGTTTTTACCCACTGGTGTTGCGAGGTAGCTTTGTTTTATTCATCGGTACTGCTTTGTTGCTCTGTTATATCGTACATCACCTTGATTATTATAGCTAGCATGACAAATGGATAACAGAAACTGCAGATGAAATTGATGCAAATGGAGAAAACCGCATACTACATTGAATATGAGAAGGTTATCGATTACACATATGACAAAAAT